AGGAGGAGGAGGAGGAGGAGGAGGAACAGGAGGAGGAGAAGGAGGAGGAGGAGGAGGAAGATGATAGTGGTGGTTGTGGTGGTGATGCTGTTGGATGTGGAGGTGGAGGCAACGGAATCACCATGAGCAGGAATATGAGGATGACGAGGATAGAGGCTAATGGGGGGAAGGAGAAGGACATAGGAGGATGAGAGAGGAGGGGCCTGATACTGGGGAAAACGCAGTGCAAGGATTACGAGCAGGACGGGGAGGAGGAGGAGGAAGAGGAGGCGGAGGAGGAGGAGGAGGAGGCGGAGGCGGAGGCGGAGGAGGAAGAGGAGGAGGAGGAGGGAGGAGGATGAGGAGGAGGAGGCGGAGGCGGAGGCGGAGGCGGAAGCGGAGGCGGAGGCGGAGGAGGAGGAGGAGGCGGAGGAGGAGGAGGAGGCGGAGGAGGAAGAGGAGGAGGAGGAGGAGGAGGAGGAGGAGGATGAGGCGAGGGAGGAGGATGAGGAGGAGGTGGAGGAGGAGGATGATGAGGATCGCGCGCCACTGAGGGGGAAGGAAAAGGGGGAAAGAAGTCCCACAGTCCGCCACTGCCCCAGGGGGGCCCTTCAGAGTGGACCTTTGTGAACCAAGGGCAGGAAGGCCGAAGACCCGCCCGAGGTCCGCGACAGGGCCCCCCTGGGGTACAGTTCAGCAGCCAGCCAGTTCATCGACGTCCTGCCCTTCAGAACGTTCGAATCTCACCCCAGGCTTCAAAGCTTGGCCGTCATTGAGGCCGAAAGCCAGGAGGAAGTTGGCAAACTGTTCCCTCTCTGGTCCCAAACTTCTTATCTCGAGGCTGGGCCCCTGAAACTCTCTCGAGCCACCCCAACCAAGCTCTCGCCGCCCCCCCAGGAGACCTCCAGGGGCCCAGCTTGAGAGGTCTATTGGGGTGCTTCACATTCGACACCGCCTTGGTATATTCCTTGCCAGTGTCCCCTAGGGCCCTTAGCGAGCCTAGACAACTGGAACTCAAACCCATGGCCCCAGAGGAGGCCGTTGCGTAGCCTCCACAGGCGGAATACAAAACCGTTGGAGGTTGATTTACCTCCAAAACTTCAACCTCCAGGAGACCGTGTTGGTTGAAAAACCAAGGCATCTGGTTCTTATCATTTGCCCGCTCGGCCAACTCTGGGGTCAGCACTTCTCTCTGGCCTGCGGCGGAGGAGGATTGGGCGGGGGTAGTAGTAGAGGCAGCAGCCGCTTCCCCCTCCTCCCACCACGCCTTCGTGATCACTTCCACCAACTCGCCAACGGCCTCGAGCGAACAAAGAGTGAGTCCATGGGCTCCTACATTGTCAACCATTTCTTGATCTGCATCTTGGGCTCGGCCCTGCTGATATACTTCCCTAACGTGCGCGCCAGGCTGAACGTTCCTTTGGCCATCGAGACCACATCTTTGCTCCTGCGGGCAAGCTCCGCCCCAGCTCTTGACGGCCTATACGCCACTTGATCGCCTTCATGTTCAAACAAAGGGAGGCGCCCTTCCCGAACCGCAGTCGCGCTGGTGTGTGCGGGAACCTTTCTACCGGTGACCTTTGGCGGCCCCCCTTCTAGAAAAGTCTGCTTCTACAGGTGAGCGCGCAAATTGCCAGGCATGACTGCCCCATCAGGGCACCCGCAGCACTGCAGCGTCCATTTGCAATCAGTGTACCCTGTGAAAGAGCCTAAAGACGGCGTTGTGACCTGAGAAGCTGGCCTCCTCCCCTCGAGAGGGGGAGGAGCGGTGGGGATGAGCGACGGTCGGGGCGGGCTGGCTTTCCAGTTCCGCCCCCGTGCCCAAAGAACCCACGGGGCTGCCCCTGCGCACCTGTCGCTGGGGGGCCCGCAAGAAACTCCCAAACCGTGCGACAGGGACAACCTCTGACCAAAAAGGGACACAAGGGAAGGGAAAGGCGACGTCGGCAGGCGGAACCCCAAAGCTCGGGTTCTGAGGCTGGCTGCGCAACCAGCATGGCCCGCCAGAGCGCGCGCCCTGCCCCTCACACAATCGTCGCCATCTCTGGCCAAAGGGGAAGGCGACGTCGGCAGGCGGAACCCCGAAGCTCGGATTCTGAGCCTGGCTGCGTAACCAGCACCGCCCGCCAGAGCGTGCGCCCAACCCCTTCCAGAGATCCTCGCCATCCCTGGCCACCTGGTCTGGGCAGACATCTCGTGGGGCCGCCCTATGCCATTCGGCCAACGGGCGGAGCTCTCTGTCAAATCGCCGCTGGTCCAAGAGAGAGGGCGTGGCCCTCTGCTCCGCGCCCGAGTGGCGGCCCAGCTGGCCCGCGCGCCCCGAGGTGCGCGGGGCTGACGCCCAGTGGGGGAACGGGGGAATGTGCGGCGCCGCGCTTGCGGGGCGGCCGTGCATGGCTGGCTCGCGCGGCCGCGATTGCGCTTGGGCTGTGGGTTGCGCGGGCGCATTCTGCGATGGCCTTCGACGGGCCTGGAGCGCGCGCGGAGGGTGGGCGCCCCCGCCAGCACGGGCGGCAAGTGCCGCGGGCCTGGGCGCCCCGCTCGCGTCCTGCGTCGGCGACGAGATCGTCGTCGGCGGCGCTCGACTGCGTTAGCAGAAGTTCGCCTTGAACCTCGCCGGCGCCCGTCGGACTGGTGCTGTTCGGAAGCGACGAGCACTTCGACGGCGGCGCCGATGCGGCGGCGCCACAGGCGGTCGCGATCGCGAGCGACTGGGAGTCCGTGGGCGTGGAGATCGCCGAGCCGCAGGGGCAGCGCGGCCTCGGCAACGCGATGCAGGTCCTCCAGGCGGCCGACGACGAGAGGGGGCGAGCGCGCCGTCATGGCGACCTCGGACGGCGCTCCTTGGAATCAGCGCTCGCGATGCACGTGCGAGCTGGGGCGGCGCCCTGCGCTGCGTCGACGACGAGATCTGCGCCGCCGAGCAGGGCGTCGTCGCCGCGCTCGACTGTGGCGACTCCACGAAACAAAATGGTTTCGACATCGGCTGGGAAGTTGCCCCTGGCCTTGCCAGCGAGTGCCAGCGCGCGCGCCGCGGCGTGGATGGCGCGCGCCTCGGGCTGGTGCTGCTCGGGGACAGAGAGTGCGTCGACGGTGGCGCCGTCGCGGCGGCGCTGGAGGCGGCCCCGATCACGGGCGACTGAGAGTCCATCGGAACGACGATCGCTGGGCCACTGGGGCAGCGCGGCTTGCCGGCGTGGCGCAGGCCCTCCTGGCGGCCGACAGCGCGTTCGCGGGCGACCGAGGATGGCGCGGCGGCTTCGCGGCGCCCTCGGAGGGCGGGCGCGCGAGCGCGCGCCGCGCAACCATGGGGGCCGCGGCTCGAAAGGATGAGGGGGCGCAGGTCTGCGCGGCCCCGATCGCCGGGGGGCGCGACGGACAGTCTGGGTGCGCCCGGGGGCCGGGCGAGCGAGCGCCGAGGGGGCCGGCTGCGAGGGCGTCCGAGGCCTCGGCGTTCGCCGGCAACCGTCAGCCGTGGGCCATCGAGGACGGATTGCCCCGTCGCCCGCTCGTCGGCGGACGGGGGGGGGGGGCGCGAGGGGGGGGGGGGTTCGGACGAATGATATTCTCAATGTAAAAACGAATAGCAATA